GAATACTCTCTCTCTCTCTCTCTCTCGTTCTCGTTCTCTGTCTTTTTTTCTTTCTCTGTCTCTTTCTAGTTCTCTTTCTCTGTCTCTTATTTTTTTGTTTTTTTTGTTGTTCTCTCTCTCTCTCTTCCTCTCTCTCTCTCTCTCTCTCTCTCTTCGCCCTTCCAGGCGTTGCCACGCGGCGAAAGGAGTGGCACAGAATTTGGTGCTCGCCCCCCAAAAGTGTTGCCACGTAGCGAGGAGGAGGAGGAGGAGGAGGAGGAGGAAGATAGGGGGGGAGAAGAAGGAGGGGGAGGGGCGCCAGCGGTCAGGAGGGGGGGGGGGAGAGGGAGGTCCCGAGTCCCCACGGGCACGCGCGCGGAGGGCGGCCGAGCGCCTGGCGGCAGCTCGAAGTCGGGCAGCGGCGAGCTGCGGGGCGGTAGCGACCGCTCCCGCCCGCCTCGACGTGAACGCAGAGAAACGCAGATCGACGGCTATTGCACACGGGAGAGGCCCTTCGCGAGAACACCGGGGCCCCTCAGGCGAACAGCCGAGGTCCGTCCCACTCACGCTCCGACGAACAGCGAAGTCCGTCAGGCTCCTCAGACCCCCAACCCTGGCCCTAAACCCTAACCCTAAACCCGAACCCTAAACTGTAACCTTGAACCCCAAACCCTGAAACCGAACCCGAACCCTAATCCAGAACCCTAACCGTGACCCCATCAACCCTAACCCTAACCCAAACCTCTAATTAAGCCCCAACCCTAATCCGGAGACCGACGGACATGTCGGCGGCGGTCCAAGCCGGGGATTTATACATCACCACCGCCTGCACATCGCAATGCTTCTGCAACCAGAGACCCGGGAGGTCTGGACCAAACGGTTACCGACCAGAGGATTTATTAACCCAAGTTTGCCTATGATCTGCAATCAGAAATCCGGAAGGTCTGCGCCAAAGAGGTTACCGACCAAAGGATTTATTAATTCCCATTTGTCTCTTCCTCGCCCTCCCCCTCGCCCTCGCCTCCCTCTCCCCCCTCCCCACTCCCGCCTCCTCCTTCCCCCCTCCTCCCCCCCTCCTTGCGTTGTGCTTCGCCGTCGTGAGGCGCTTTGTTTTTTCCTGTTTCACAGTCGGGCGCTGTGTCTTCATGCGTTGAATTTCGTTTTTGTTTCGCAAACATAGCGGTGTCAATCGCGTGCTCCTCTGCTCGCGCGCCCAACCGGAAACCCGGCTCAGTGGCGACTGCGGCGCCCAGGCGCCGCGCCTTGGGCTGGCGCATGGGCACCAGGAGATGTCCACGTCCACCGCCCGCCCGCGGAGACGCCAGGAGATCCACCCCCAAGGCGGCGATGATAGAAAAATCCCGGGCTCGCGGCCCCAGACGTGCGATGTCCTGATTTGTTCAGCACGCGGCCCCCGGAAATCCCGACCCCTTCCCCAGGGGCCTGTTTTTCGTCCTGAGTCGCTTTCTGACGCTCCCGGGTCCCTCTGGGGGCCCCGCGGGGTCGAAGACTGCCCAAAACTTCCTGTCCTTAGTTTTTTACGACGTCGGAGATCTTGGAAGAGTCCGAAAGTCAACCAAAAAAATATTGAAACATCTCCGAGGACCTCTGGGAGCATCTAGGGAGCCCCCGACGACCCCCGAGTGCCCAGAGGGCCCCTCGAAAACTTTCCAAACCCATTTGAAAACCTTCGACGAAAAATCGACGAAGGCGTCTTCGGCGCAGGCGGCCCGCGCGACGCCCGGAGCGCCGCGGGCGGCGGAGGCGCCGGCGCCGGCGCAGGCGGCCAGCCCGGGCTGGCCCGGGCCGCCCCCGCCAGCTGCCCCAGTCGTCGGCCACGCGGGAGCCGCCGCAGGCGCCTCGCCTCCCAGCGGAGGGAGGGAGGGTAGTTAAAAGAAGAGGGGAGGGAGAGAGCGGGAGGAGAGGGTAGGAGGGGACGGCGCTACCCCGCGCGCTCAGGCGCAGCTTCCTTGGAGGAGTGGGAAGAGCAGGATACGCGTGAACTAGTATGGTATAACAATACAACGTTGATGATGATACGGATCATAATGCCACTCCCGCGATGCCAAGATACCACCTACCATTCCTACCTAGCCCTGTTGTAATCAAGTTCGGCCTCGCCGCCCCCGCCCGCGCACCGCCCGCCACCCACCCACCACCCGCCCTCCACCACCCATCGCCCACCCACCACCCGCCCCCGGTCACCCGCCACACATCCACCCACCCACCATTCACCCACCGCCCGCCCATGACCCACCACCCACCCACCACCCACGCGACGCTGACGTTTCCATTCCCCCTTCCCCGACATGTTCTGGGCATCGCGTCCCTGGAGCGCCCCCCGAACAAATCAGGGAATTCCCACGACCCCCGCAGACGACGACGATGTTTCAAGGCGACGACGATGTTTCAGCACCTTAAAGTACATGAAGCTAAGGCATGTGTTCACGTCTAGTCGTGATGTCTGTTATTGATGTGCGTGATTGGTCTGTTATGTACGAACACTCTTCATGTCTATTCTTGAGGTTTCGTCTTTGTGTCCCCCTGTCTTGAAGTCAGCTCCTGGTGTCTCTTCTTGAGATTTCGCCCGCCCCATCACCCCCTCCCCCCCCCCTCCCCCCCCCCCCAAGCGTTCTGCACCTAGCGTCGCTGAGGGCAAGCGCCGCACGAATCGGGGAACATGAGTAACCCCTCCCACTTCCCGCCGCCCCCGTCTGGGCGCCGCCAGTTGCAGATTCTCACGGATGCTCGACTCTCGAAGTTTTTCTCCGATTGCGGACTCTCGGGCACCGTTCCTGGGCCCCGGGGCCAGCGACAACCGCTCCAGGATGAGAGGGCACGCCCGGGAGATCCGAAGAGCGATCCTCGAGGATCCAGGCTCCAGATGTCGAGTGACGAAATCTCTATGCTCGTGTCGCCGGGCCTCTGGGGCGCCTCTCGCCGCCATCGCCGACGTCGCCATCGCCGGCGTCGCCGCCGTCGCCGCCGTACCTCCGCAGCGACGCAATGCTGCTCATCGTTTTTGATCGCCGATGGTTCGCCCTTCAAAACGCGCCCCCATCGACCCAAACTCCACGGCCCCGGAACGCGAGGCATCTTCAATAGCCCCAGCCCGCTCCGTGGCACGCGCAGCCGCTCTCTGAAGTCGACCCCTGCCATGCCGCTGAGCTCTCACAAGCAGCCCAGGAACACGAGGTATATTCAATAGCCCCAGCCCGTTCCGTGGCACGCGCAGCCGCTCTCTGAATTCGATCACTGCCAGGCCGCTGAACTCTCACATAGCAGCCTGCCCTCCAGAAAAATCAACACAGCCCTCGGCGCCAGACGCCGAGCGCGCGGCGCCCTATAGGTACCCACAGGGCGCCGCATGACCTCATAAAGGTTGCTTGAAACTCCGACCCGACGGTACCTCGCGAATCTTCAAATGGCGAGCCCGAACATCTCAGGACCTAGAACTGCAAGCGCGCGCAAAGCATGCGCGCGCAAACACTCTTGATCTACATCTAATTAAAATCGCTCGCCCCCTCAGGCCCAGACTTCCGTCTGAGAAGCTCGACGCACAAGGCAGACAACGCAGCAAGCGCCACGCCCATGGCACATCTCCCCGCCCTCCGCGCAGAGCATCGCCGCCCCCAGACAATGGCACATCAGGGGCCGCACGCTACGCGCCGCTCAAAGAGACGACGATGCCCGAAGAGCCAAGGCTCCGCTCCATCCCCCCCCCCCCACCTCTCCGTCTCAACCTTGTCCTTATCACCCTTCCCCTATGCCCGCGCTGGTCAGACTACAACTCACACCGCCCTTGCCCGCTTCGGCGCGGGCCCCCGAGAAGCACCTGCGGCGCGGCGCGCAGCAGCCGCAGCAGCCGCCCCAGGCTCCGCAGTCCACGTGTTCATCTGATCCTGCAGCATATCGCGCACGTATCCAGGCAAATCACTTCCGGACTTGAGCTGCCTCAGCAAAGCGTTGCCGAGACCTGAGCGAGCAACGACATATGTACATGTACGCCCTCCGCGATCTTGAGTGCACGAACGTCCTCGTTCAAACGCCCTCCAGGGGAAGCTAACCGCGTACGTGTACATATGTTGCTGGCCTCTGAAGACCTGCGCTCACTGCCTCCATCGCCGTGGGCTTCAGCACCCGCATCGCCTGGCCGACGCGGAAGAGCGCAGCGACGTCACCACTCGCAGCCGCGACCTCTCTGAACGGCCCAATCCCTCCCGCCCGCCGACTTCCCGTAGTGAACTTAAACCCCCCAATTGTTCTTTTCTGACGCCGGCCACACGGAATGTGCCTCCAGAAGATCCATGACCCCAGCGGCGGCAACATTTCCAGCTCGGTTCCTGTGGAAGCTCCCGTAGTGCTGCACGGAACGGGATCGGAAATCGTTTTGACTGCCTCTCCAAACCCGGGCCCCTGTTCCCATCCGAATCCAAGAACGAACATCGTTTCCGGCCCCAGGGCCCAGAACCTGTTGTCTTCCATGAGCCCGAAGCCCTACCAGCACCCCCCCGCGAGTCAATCCTAGCGCGCAACGATTGTCGAAACCCCCAGCACCTGCTCGGCGATCTCCTTCAGTTCCTTCATCCTGCCCTCAGCGCCGCCGCCTTCGCCAGCCACGCCCTGCGGCCCCGCCGAAGCAGCCGACGATGGGGGCGCCAGCAACGCGCGCGCCCGCGCCGCCAGCTTCTTCTTCTTCTTCTTCTTGGCAGCCTCCGCGATGCGCTGCGAGACCTCCCCGTGGATGTCCGCCAACGCAAGCCGGGCGGCGCGAGCCGGCATCTCCGCGCCACGAGGTTGCCCGGCCGAGCTCGGGGCCGCGAGCGCTTCGGCGGCAACCCCCGCCACGGGCTGCACGCTGGCGCCCGCAGCCAAACGGATACTCGGGAAAGCCATGATGGCAGGGTCGCCCATGACCCACCGCCCAAACAAGGAATGGCTGCACTGACCCCTTCAGCTGGTGCACCAGGCACATACAGTAAGCCGTGCAATATAATTCCCCCGTAGTCCGCGCTCTCCGCCCCACCTCTTTCTCCACGGCCACCACCGCCCCTGTGACCTCCCGCATGTGAGTATGGAGCGTCGTAAGCGAGAGGTGGCCGTCGCCCTTGATGACGTCCAGCCTCTTCAAGCCCTCCTGCACAAGGGTCTTCGACTTGGCCGCGTGAATCTTGAGGTGCTCCACGTGCACGGACTTCTCGACGGCCATGGCAGACCTGTGGAGCGGGGCAGCGAGGAAGTGCACGTCGATAGAGTTCTTGATGACCGTGGCAGCTCGGCATCTGGGACGGCCTGCAACAGCCTCTGGGCGACGTCGCGCGAGATGCTACTGCGCTGGAAGTTCACAGGAGCCGACTTCACGTAAGCTCGAGCATTCGGCACGTGAAGGGGATCGCCGGATGCGATATGAGTCCCCATTGCAGGTGGACCCGACACGAACCGCTCATGAATACGCGCCTGGGCGACACCGACCATGGCCGTAGTCAGCGTCGACTCGCACACGCGCGGACCGGCATTCCTAGCAAACCCGTGCTTCATAGCCATCGCCGCCTGTGATCCAGCCAGATGCTCGGTGGACGCCGCCATGCCGCACGTGTGGATGTCCCCTGGCAGAGAGTGGCGGTGGACCTTGAGCCGCGCCTCTAACGCCTGGGACATGCTGCCTGGAGCGCAGCCGGGAACATGACCGCTCTCCGCCCCGCTATACCAGGACGGCTCGAAGTTTTTTTTTGGGGGGGTCACCATTGACCGACCAGTTATGACAGCGCGACAGTTCACAGCGCCCTGCTTGCAGCCTCTCGCGCCGCTATGCGGGCACGAATGGCATCCAGGCATGGCAGCAGGGTTGCAGAGGCCGCCACTTCGCCGCGGCGCGCCATCTGCAGAACATCATCCGCCTCCTGCCTCGCCACCTGTTCTTCAGGTTCAGCACAGGAGACTGCCGCGCAGCGCAAAGGATGAAGCCCTCTGCGCAGCCGAGACAACACTTGGCCACCGCTGCGAATGCTGCCAGGCTGGCAGCGGAACTGCGAATCTCGTGCTGCGAGTACGCTCCGCAGGCCAGACAAAAGAACAACGGGTTGGGCTCGTCTCCAACCTGGGCACTCGCCAGCTTGTGTGCGTGATCGGGGGCAGAGACCAGGAGCTCGGCCACTCTCTCAGGGAAACCTTCGCATCCAAGCTCAGGGCGCTCGTGCTGTCGTCCTCCGAAGAAGACCAAACACTTGGTGCGCCGAAACCCCCAGAGGCTCCGCTGCCAGGCATGCCACGACGTGGCCTTGTCAAAAACCTTCGTGGGTCTCCCACGTCTGGGTGGCCGCTGGTGAGACGCACGAGGAAACAGCGGCAGCACGCTCGCCATCAGCCGTGTGCACTTGCGCATCTGGCCGATGGTCCAATCTAACTGCTTGGCTTCAGCCTCCGACGGGCGCGCATGCAGATCGATGGCCTTCTTGGCCTCGAGATCTGCTCGCCAGTTGGCCTGGCCAATCCTACGCTCTGGTTGAGCCAGCGCATCTATCGCTTCAAGCTTGCGGTGCGCAGGCGTGTGAACAGCTGGGGCAAACTTATTATCACACATATGGACCAGGGCGCCTCGCCTGAGACCTCCGTACCTTTGCTGCGGGGAGGTTTGTTCGAGGGGGCCTTTGTTGTGGAGCTTGACCGCATTCATACAATCACTGTAACACTCAGAGGCCAACCTCGGCACGAAAATAAGCAGAAGCGCCAACTGCAGCTGCTCCGCGGCCTGGCTAGTCTGGGGCAAGGAGGGCCACACCACTAAACCCGCGCGACAAACTTCTGGTGGCCTTCGTCATCAAAGAAGACCCAATAATACGCAGCTCTGGGCAACTCCGAAATACAGTGTGGTATGCATGACCCATCCCCTGCCTGGTAGAGTCCCGTGCAGTCAAACTTCGACCACTCCACTTCCTGCCCATCCTCATCATACAAGACAGGCTCATGCTCATCGCTAGGGCTGGGCCAGCTGTCGATCGGGCGCAGCATCTTAAGCCCGTCACGCAGCGCATCACCACTGTCAAGAGCTTCGCGGCAGAAGTCAGCCGATACCTCCGCCTCCTCTCGAGCTGCCACAACGTCCTGATGCTGACGCTCGCAGAGACGGTGCCTGACCGAGTCAGGTCTCTGGCACAGCGGGCACAGTCCTAAACAGAAGTACCCCGAACTACGAGCCCGATCCTGAGTCCACAAACCTTCACAAAAAAACAGTTTTAACCAACTACTTCCCTTGGGCACTTAAACCGATCCCTTTGGTCCGAGGGTTCACAATCCGACGCAAGGGCTCAGCGCGCACCCTAGCCCCCGAGGGCCACCCAAGTTTTTCGGCTAAAACTCTCTCATGGTGTCTCTGGACACCACGTTCCAACAAGGAACACACCATGGAGGGGGTGGTGCACAGTAAACTGTGCTCGATGCCCTTATCATCAATCCAATGCAGGGGGTTCACCGCCGACCACCCGATCCCACACAGACAGGTGCATCCTACTGATCGGACCACGCGATTTAGCCCAAATAAGTCCTTCCCGCTTGACCTCCCTCCACATCGCGCACATGTCCTTGACTGAAAACTGCGCATGGCTGGGCCTTATGACGGCGCTCCACACCGCCTGAGCCCACGCTATGGCTGGGGCAACCATGCTCCTCCACAGCGGGTCACCCACCAAGGCAACCTTGGCACGCATAGAAACTCCCGCATGCCTTGGGGCTTGAAAAGACAACAAAACACGTCTCGCTCGCCTGAGTTCGGCATCAGTCATGCCCACAATGGTGTCCCCAAACGTGAGCGCTGGCTTGGAGCCAGCCGTGTAAATCTTTCCGATGCGACCACGATCCCTTGGTAAAGCCCGCTGAAATCGCTTCAAGACACGATGTCGCTTGACCATGTCTTGGAAACGCTTGCGCCTCTTGGAGAGATGCCCCCTCCTGCTTCGTTTACCCCCAGGGGCCAAATCGCAACCCAACGACACCACATGCGTACCAACAGTCCCCGCCAGGAGTCCGAGTCGAATCCCGAGGCGACGAGCAGTGTCAGGATCCGAAGCAAACGTTACAGGACGGCTCGAAGACTTTCTTCTTGTTGTTAAACTCGCAGACCTCGGCCATGTGCGCCACCAGCGACTGGTGTCCAACCTCCGCCGCCCGGGCGCAGAAGGCATGAATGGCTTCTGTATGCAACAACTTCGCGGGGCAATAGGCAACCTCGGACACGAAAGAAGCAACGCACTTCCTCCAGTCCTGGCTCCCAGTCAATCGCGCAGCCTGCTCCTTCACGTTCTCGAGGACATGCCTCAGGCAGTGAGACAGCGGTGCCCCGGGGTGCTTCTCTGCCTGCGCCTTCTGAAATTCCGCGCACTTGTCCGCGGCCTCGCGGGCGCACCCGCGGACATGAATGCCAGCCTGCTCGAAAATTGCATCACTCGCGTCGACGAGCGCCCCCCACTCGTCGGCGTGCTCTTGGGGAACCAACCGTTTGCAATCTCCACCGCCACGGTGCAAGGCAAGCCGTTGACCACGTGGGCGGCAAGGACAGCGCGAGAAAACCATCCCCAACCACTCGCACTCCTCCTGTAGGTGACGTCGCACACCTCAGGAGGTGACCGAATGCAACGCCCCGCCCGCGGCCTAGTTCCGAAGACACGGTGGGGCATTCCTGGGCCCCCACCTCCCCGCCAACCCGCGCCCCGAACAACCCTCGGCCGCCGGGGCCACCGGAAGCCCTTCACTTATGACTGGATCACCCGGGCGACTCCGACGCAAACACATGAGGACCGTCCGGAGTACAAACTCCAAAGGCGCGCCCCGGAAACGAAGAAGTCCAGATTCCACGAAACACAAAGAATAATCCCTTGCGACCGGCCCGATCACGAGCTTCTACCCAGCCACAAACTCCAGAATAGGACCAAACTCTGAGCCGGAAGATGCCCACGCGCGGAGCCCCACTCCCCCATCGCAACCTGCAAAGGAGAGGGCGACAGCCCGAATTGATACTGACTTCCAGCAACACACCAGTAGTGATGGCGTTAGAGGTTGCACTAGCACTCGAAACTTGCACTAAGGAGCACTCTAGGAGCAGCCGCGCGATAGTGCGCGATAGAACCAGTCGTGTTCAAGACCTAGATACTCTTTCGTGGAGTAGGCGCAGGGATCCAATGCAATACGCCCCTGGACAGAAAATGAAAAACCGCTCGCCGCCAGAGGTCCCAGATTTAACGAGTCATCGACAAGAGTGACACCCCCGCGGTTATATATGTATATATAAATATGTATATATATATATATATATATATATATATATATACGTCCTGCCGAGGACATCAGGGGTTCAGACACCAGTCCCGAAGCCGATTTGCCGGCCAGAATGCCCACCGAGACTAGCGACCTCACATTTCCCTGGCCGCCAATAGAATTTGACAGGGCGACCCCCCCGCCCACCCTGCGCGCGCGCCTGAAACTTCAATCCGGACGCCCCGCGCGCGGCCAAGGCCTCCGCCATCTCCTTCTGGGCCGACGTCGCGAGGGCCACCCGCCCAGGCATGTGGCCGCCGACGCGGTGGCACTCGAAGTCAAAGAGGCCGAGATTGTCGAAGCCCTCGAGCGACTTCTCCTCGACGCGCCGGCACCGCGCACCGAAGAGCTCCTCGCTGCTCTCGCCACCGCCGCCGCCGCCCGAGCGATCGCGTCTCATCGCCCTCCTGCGAGCGCACTTCGCAGCATCGTAGGACATCGCCGCCCCCGACATGCGCGCAGCCGCCGCGGCCCGCATGGGCACGGCGCCAGCAGACTGCTCTGCCACCAAGCGTTCCTCAACCGGAGCCCCACGGACGATGCGAGCAGCCTCGGCATGCTGTCCTTTAGATATCGCCTTCAGCGTGTTGCCCTCCACGAAAATGCGACGGCGGTGGCCGCGCTCGCTATGGGGCCGGCATTGCGCGCACATGCGGAGCTGCCCCCCGCGAGCCCTCGACTGCCGCAAGAATTTGCCCTTCTCAGCGTGCTGGTCCGCAAACTGCTGGAACACTTCCCGCGTGGCCGCCGCTGGGCAAGGAAGCTCGGCAATGGTGATCCAAACGTCCGCCGGTGGATCCGCCGGTTGGGCCGCCGCCAGAGCTGCCTGGCCTCCCTGCGCCATCGCGTGCGCCAACAGATCGTTGGCGCTGATACCCTGCAGAGCACCGCCTAGTCGTAGGCGACCTCGTCTTGAGCCAAGACAGGAAGAGGACGGCGGCGAGCGGAGACAGACTACCCGAGAACGGGAACAAGGGAAACGAGCAGATAAGTGGGAGATAAGAGACAGGAGAGAGCGGGCACAGGATCTTGCAGGTTCCCACTCCCTCAGGCCGGAGCAGGAGGACACAGGGCCCACCCAGAGCAGTTTCTCAAGAACACAACAAAACATCCTCCAGCCTGGAACCTCAATCCACAGACCCTTCCCAGGACCCATCCAGCACAGGTTCTCAACCCTGGATCCGCGTCTACAAACCCCCGGGACCCGAAAACAGCCACCCGAAACCAAAACAGCACCCCGAAAACAGCCCCCCGAAAACAGCCCCCCGAGACCAGAAACGGACCCGGCCACGCCCCCCCGATGTCCCAGAACCTCAAAGCTCAATCCCCGGACCCTCGACCAGGACCCATCCAGCGCAGGTTCGCGCCCCGGAGTCCTTATTGAACAGTCCCGGGGACCGGAAACGACCACCATGATCCGAAAAACAAAAGGCCTCCTCGAACCGCAAACCTCGGTCCCCGGACCCTTCCCGGGGCCCATCCAGTGCAGTCTGGATCCGTACTTTAAGTCACTGGGCCCGAACACGGACCCCAAAACGAAAACGCAGAAAGCCGCGTCAAACCTCAAGAGGCTCCGCAGACCCTTCCAGGAGTCCATCCAGTCCAACTTCTCACCCCTGGATCCGCATTTAAAGATTCCCGGCCCGAAGACGGCCCCCGCGATCCACCAAAAACAAAAAACCTTGCCACCTCAACCTCAATCCCGGGGCCCTTCCCAGGGTCCGCCCAGCCCAGGTTCTCACCCCTGGATGCATATTTGAAAAAACCCGAAATGGGCCCCCAGAGAACAAAGAAACGAATGACATCCTCGAACATCGAACCTCGAACCTCGCCCCGCCCAGGGCCGGGCCGGCGGCGGCGGCGACGGCGCGGCCGAGGGCGGGCCTTCGACGGCAACCGCCGACCCCGATGGCCACTTCCGCCTGGACGCAGGGCTTGGCGAGGAGGGGAGGGAGGAGGGAGGGGGGGGATGAGGAAGGAGAAAAACGCGAAGAGAAGGAGGGAGGAGGAGGGCGAAGAAGGAGGAGGGGGGCGTCGAGGAGGAGGGAAGAGGAAGCAGGAGGGAGGAAGAAGGAGGCAGGAGGGAGGAGGAGGGGGAGGGAGGAAGTCGTCGCCATCGTCCTCGTCGTCGCCGTTGTCGTCGTCGTCGTCGTTGCCGTCGCCGTCGCCAGGTAGAAGGAGGAAGGGCGCAGAGACCCTGGCAGGACGGCTGCGCTCGAGAGGCTTCCATGTTTGTCCTGGACCAGTTCCCGCTGGCTCCTTAGCGTTTGCTTAGAAGGCGGTCCGACCGTCGTCGGAGCAGTTCGAGAGAAGCAGTTCCTATCGAGACGCTTCCGCGCGGCCCGAGTGCTAGGCAGAGCCGCCAGGGCAGGGTTCTCGAGCACGTATCGCGCCAGCTACCCGTGCGCGCCAAAACGCGAGCTCGAAGCAGAAACTACATTGATCGCCTACGGGGACCAACCCCCGCCTCCGCTGCCATCGCCCCGCTATCCACCCCCTCTCCCGCGACGGCGACGAGGCCGAGGACGAGGGCGAGGGCGGCGACGACAACGAGAGGGGAAGGGCGGGCACAAGCAGGACCGCCGGCGGCGGCGACGACGGCGTCAGCGACGACGACGGCGGCGGCAGCGACGGCGAGGACGACGACGGCGGCGGCGGTGACTACGACGACATCGTCGGCAGCGAAGGCGACCACGACGACGCAGACGACGACGAAAACAACAAAGACGACGAAGACGACGACCACGACGACAACGACAAAGGGAACGACGACGACGACAACGACGAATAATCCACTCCAGACTCTTCCAGAATGTTCTGGACATCGCGTCCCCGTAGCCCCCCCCCGAACAACTCGGAAAATTCTCGCGCCCCACGACGACGACGACGACGCCGACCGCGACGTCGACGACCGCGACGTCGACGACGACGACGACAACGCAACCGACGACGACGCAAACGACGACGACGACAACGACAAAGTTTCCATTCCAGTCACTCCAGGCTCCCCAGAGTGCTCTGGACATCGCGTCCCCGAGGCCCCTCCCCGAACAACTCAGGGAATTCTCGCGCCCCCCCGACGACGACGATGCCGACCGCGACGTCGACGACCGCGACGTCGACGACGACGACGACGACGACGACGACGCAAACGACGACGACGACAACGACGAAGTTTCCACTCCAGACTCCCCAGAATCTTCTGGACATCGCGCCCCCGTAGCCCCTCCCCAAACAACTCGGGGAATTCTCGCGCCCCGCGACGACGACGACGCCGACCGCGACGTCGACGACCGCGACGTCGACGACGACGACGACGCAACCGACGACTACGCAAACGACGACGACGACAACGACGAAGTTTCCACTCCAGACTCCCCAGAATCTTCTGGACATCGCGCCCCCGTAGCCCCTCCCCAAACAACTCGGGGAATTCTCGCGCCCCGCGACGACGACGACGCCGACCGCGACGTCGACGACCGCGACGTCGACGACGACGACGACGCAACCGACGACTACGCAAACGACGACGACGACAACGACGAAGTTTCCACTCCAGACTCCCCAGAATCTTCTGGACATCGCGCCCCCGTAGCCCCTCCCCAAACAACTCGGGGAATTCTCGTGCCCCGCGACGACGACGACGCCGACCGCGACGTCGACGACCGCGACGTCGACGACGACGACGACGACGACGACGACGCAAACGACGACGACGACGACGACGATCACGACGAAGTTTCCACTCCAGACTCCCCAGAGTTTTCTGGACATCGCGTCCCCGAGGCCCCCCCCCCCGAACAACTCGGGGAATTCTCGCGCCCCCTCGACGACGACGAAGGAGGACTCGGGGAATTCTCGCGCCCCCTCGACGACGACGAGGAGGAGGAATAAAGCCCAGAGGCCCTCCGAGCGCGGCCATCCTCCGCGAGGCTGCCCACGCGCCCTCCAGGCGCGACAGCGCGGCCGCGCGACAAATGGCCGCCGGCAGGCCGTCGCGGCCACCCCGGCCCCTGCCCATGCGCCGCTGCCGCCGGGCCGCGTCGGCGAAGGCGGCGGTCCGAAGGAGCTCAGGCGAAAGCGACGCGATCAGCCTGTCCAGCAGAAGGCACGCGCACATGGCGAAGTACAACAGCGACCCTGTGCATCCCACGCGCTTCGCCAATGCAACGATCAAGCGGGCCCCCGCGAGGTTCCCCCGCGTCTCCAGGTGGTCGCTCTGGTCGGGGAAACCTTCGGCAAAACGGGCGACGCTCGTGCTCGGAGGGGCCGGGAAGTCGCGGTGCCCGACCGCGCGCCGCAAACCCACCTGGGCCGCACGGAGAGGACGGGGGGCGTTCCACCACGCCCCCCTTAATAATGGGGGTGGGGGGCCTACAGGCGCGACCCCGGCGCAACCGCAATCCCAGTTGCTGGCTCCCCCACAAAATGTTGTGGGCACCGCTCCCCTGAGGGGGCGAACCGAACAAATCGGGGCATCCACGCGCCACCCATGTACGACGACGACGACTACGAGGGCCACGACGACGACGCCGACCACGTCGACGCAGCCCGACGAAGACAATGACGAGGACGACGACGACAACGACGACGACGACCTCGAGGAAGTTTCAACCCCCTCCGCCCCCCCCCCCGCCCACCGAGGTTCTGGGCATTGCGCGCCCGACGACAAAGACGCAAACGACGACGACAACGACCAAAGTTCCACTCCAGCTCCCCAGAATGTTCTGGACATCGCGTCCCCGAGGCCCCTCCCGGCACAACTCGAGGAATTCTCGTGCCCTCCGACGACGACGACGCCGACCACGACGTCGACGACCGCGACGTCGACGACGACGACGACGCAAACGACGACGACGACGACAACGACGAAGTTTCACTCCGGGCCCCCCAGAATGTTCTGGACATCGCGTCCCCGAGGAAGAACAACTCGCTCGTGCCCCACGACGACGACGACGCCGACCGCGACGTCGACGACCGCGACGTCGACGACGACGACGACGCAAACGACGGCGACGCAAACGACGACGACGACAACGACGAAGTTTCCACTCCAGACTCCCCAGAATGTTCTGGACATCGCGCGTCCCCGTAGCCCCCCCCCGAACAACTCGGAAAATTCTCGCGCCCCCCCGACGACGACGACGCCGACCGCGACGTCGACGACCGCGACGTCGACGACGACGACGACGCAAACGACGACGACGCAAACGACGACGACGAAGTTCCCACTCCAGACTCCCCAAAATGTTCTGGACATCGCGCCCCCGAGGCCCCTCCCCGAACAACGCAAGGAACTCTCGTGCCCCCCCGACGACGAGGACGCCGACCACGACGTCGACGCCGACGAATGCAACGTCGACGACGACGAGCGCCGCGCTGGCGAGCAGGCGCGCGCCCGCACCCAAGACCATCCCGCCCAGCCATGCACGGGCATAAGTTTCCACCCGGTGCGACCTGCAGCGCTCGGAACGTCCACCTGCTCAAGTAGCCGTCCGGGTCCTGGAGCGCGAGCCCGCGCCCGGTGACGTCCACGATCTTCGTCTGCGCCGCCCCCCGCGCCTTGAAGTCCCGCGCCGCCCCGCGCACGTCGTGGGGCAACGCCGTCTTCTCAATGCCCTGGAGAGTCTGCAGGTGAGCGTGCTCGTCGTCCATGAAGCCGTTCACTGCGCGCCGCTCGTCGCCGCCAAAATTCAACGCACGCGCCCCGCGCGGTAGTGGACGTGCTTGTTGGGCCGCGCGCGGTCCACGCGGGCCATGGCCCGGATGGCCTGGGCAACGCTGCTCCACACCATCTTGGCCGCCTTCACGGCCAAGGCGCGGTTGGGGCTCAAGAGACCGTGAATGGCCACGGTCTGCTCGGGGGAAAGGCCAGCATCTGCTCCACGAGATTGCTGCGCCACTCCGTCTCCTTGCCCCAGACCAGGAACATAGACACTGACGGCGAAACAACTACTTTCTCTAGCTTTTTTCGTCGCCTCCACGTGAGTGTGGAAATCTACGGGCATCCAATCCTGGAACAAAGGGCGCGCGCTCCGAAAGATCTCAATCTCTCGTTCGGGATCCGCCCCCTGCGCCGCCGGGGCGCCGCGCTCAGAGAGCGCGTGGAGGGCGCCCCGAAGACTGTCGAAGACGCAGGCGCCGAGGTAAGAACCAGGTAGCTCTACCTTGAACCGACTGTTCCGTTCGTAAATGCACTGGTACGACGCGGCCACGAATGAGCTCCCCGCGCTCGGAGCCGCTCGCGGCCGAAGCTCCTGAACTCGACAGCCCTGGTGATCAGCAAGAAGTTTTTTGGCTGCCCTCAGTCCCTTCACCGCGGTGAGGAACCCGACGCACTCGCCGCCACTCCGCAGCTCGTGCCCACCAGATCGGCGCGCCGCGCCGACTGGGAGGTCCTCCGCACCCGAAGCATCCGCTGCAGCCGGACGCTTCATAGCACTGTGCGGCTCCACGCGGCACACACTCAAGCCAACAAGGATGGCGATGTCAGAATGCAGAGGTATATCGACGAAGAAGGAGGAGAGAGAAGCAGCGGCAATTGCAATCCGCAGAGAACAAATCGTTTTTGACGGTCCTGGCGAGGGCCCCCTGCAGGCCCGAAACCAAAGCTTCGGCGCCCCGATCGGCCCGGAGACCACCGTAGACCCAGAGACCTCCGCAAGCCCCCGGAAGCCCGAAAATGGAAAACATAGAACAAGAACACCCGAATCTTTTCCTTCTCGATCTCCGAACCTCGATCTTCGAACTTCGATCTCCGACGATCGGGGCTTCCAAGGGCCCCGCGTCGAATAAAAGTCACGACGTGGGCCCAGATCGACGGCGCTCTCGAGCTCGCGTCTCTTTCAATAAGCGCGCCAGCGTTTTCGACGTTTCGACCTGAGGTGCAGGATTCAATCCGAGGAAATACCAGGGCCGATGATGAATTAACTTCACAGGAGTTGCAACTTAACAATTTGTTCGACGCGTCGGCCCCCGCAAGCCTGGACAACGCCCCCGGCGCCGGTTTCCTGAATCGTTTTTTGACGGTCCTGGAGCCCAGAAGCGGCCTCCGCGGAGCCCGAAGAGCGCTCAAGGTCGGCCGCTCCGAATTTTCCGAAACGCCAAATCTCCGGCGCCCCTTCGGCGGCCGCGGAGAGCGGGAAGCGACGGGGCGGGAAGCGACAGAGCGGACCCAGCCATCCGATGTCAGGACTTTTACAATGCCGAGTCCCGGGAAATCCCCGACCCTTTCCCTGGGGCCGGCTTTTCATCCCGGGCCGTTTTGTTTGACGGCTGAGAGCCCCGGGAATCGGAGAGCGAAAAGCCACCGGTCATTTTTTTTCGCGATACGAGGATCTCGGGGGCGACCGGCCCCTGGAGGTCCCGACCCTCTCCCCAGGACCGGCGCTCTCGTCCTGGGTCGTTCTTTCGAACGCTCCCGGGCCCTCTCGAGTGCCCCCGGAGACCGAAAACATTGAAAGACTGGCGCCTTCAAAAAATGACGTCGTCGAAGATCAGGGGGCAAGTCCGCTCAAAACGGATCCCCGGGCCCCTCCCGCGGTCGAGACGCACCAGTTTTCCCCGCTGGGCGCGGCGGCGGCGACGAGGAAGGCCACCGAGACCCAGGAGGCCGCGAACCTCGATCCTCAAGGTTCGAACTTGGAAAGTCGATCTGAAAGTTCCGGGGAGACGCTGGACCGATCCTGGAGCGCATCTGGGCCCGAATGTCCCAGGAAAGACCGGCCGTGGCCAAAAGCAGCGCCCCCGGAAACCTAAAAAGGCCGTCACCAGACCCCTCGGAACCTCGTGGGATCTGGGGGGGCGACAGGTCGGATCTCGGCCGCCCGGCGGCGGCCTGTGGGTGCCTCCGCAGAGCATGGGCGCCTCTGAAGGCCTCCGCAGAGCCTCGGAACCTCGTAAGTTCCGAGGAGACGACGGCGCGGATCTCAGCCGCCCGGCGGCGGCCATGGGACGCCTCTGGGAGCCTCCGCGGAGCCTCTGGAAGCCTCCGAGAGCCCCCGAGCGCCCCCGAAGACCCCCGAAGACCTCCGAAAACCTTCAAGAACACCTCGAGGCCCGTTCCTCGAAGTTCGAACTCCGACCCTCGACGTCCGAAAAATCGCTGAAACATCGACAATATCCGGGGACCTCTGAGAGCATCTGGCGACTTCCGGGGACCTCCGAGGTCCTCCAGAAGCCTCTGGCCCCCCCCCCCCCCCCCCTCCCGAAAAATCATGCAAACCCATAAAAACCTCCGGAAACTTTCGACATGAAATCAACGAAAAATCGACGACCCTGGCGGACAGGCGACGGGGCGGAGAGCGCCCTGGCGGCGGAGCGGATCTCGGCCGCCCGGCACCGGCCAGGACACCCCAAAGGTCTCAACAGCTTCCCTAGATGGGGCCCCTTTTTGGGCAGCCCGGGAGGCGGCCTCGGGACTCCGAGAACATCGAAGAAACCGCACTCGCAAATGTTTTTGGCGCCGCCGGGATCAGACCCAAACTCCGACCAGAAGAAGTCCCCGGACCCCTCCCGACGCCCAAACGCACCAGCTTTCCGCGCCGCGTGCAGCCGTGGCGACGAGGGGAACCCCGACGGCCAGAAAGCCGCGCACCTCGAACCTCGAGGCTCAAACGACGAAACACCGCCCACTGCGATTTGTGTTGCGCCGCGGCACCCAGACATCCGCGCGCTCCAATTTTGTTCGATGCGCAATCCCAGGGAGTCCCCGGAGATCTGGAGACCTTCCCGGGAACAGATTTTTCGTCCTGGGTCGATTTCTGACGGCCCCGGGGCCCGTCGAAGACCTCCAAGAGCCGAGTTGCCCGAATCTGGCAACCCCATTTTTACCTAACAACGAAAACTGATAGGTTTCTAGCGGGGTCAAAAGAAAGCATCATGACTCCTCAGGGGGGTCGGGGCGGGACCCGGGGCGGGGCCCAGCGCGGCTGCCGTCGAAGCCCAAATCGCTTCGGACATCCTCGCAAAATCGCTCTTGGCGCTGCTAGAACTCCATTCCCGGCGTACATTTTGCATGCCCGGAGCCAACTGTAAGCCACTTCGTGCTCTTCGACTTCCCAGAACTCCATTCCCGGCGTACATTTTGCATGCCCGGAGCCAACTGTAGGCCACTTCGTGGTCTTCGACTTCCCAGAACTCCATTCCCGGGCCACATTTTGAATGCCCGGGGCCAACTGTAGGCCACTTCGTGCTCTTCGAGTTCCCAGAACTCCATTCCCGGGCCACATTTTGAATGCCCGGAGCCAACTGTAGGCCACTTCGTGCTCCTTCAAGTTCCCAGAACTCCATTCGTGGGCATGATTTTGAATGCCCGGAGCCAACTGTAGGCCACCTCGTTTTCTTCTAGTTCCCAGAACTCCATTCCTGGGTCACATTTTGAATGCTGAGGCAGGCTGATGCTGCGGCCGAGGCAGGCTGAGGCTGAGGCAGGCTGAGGCTGAGGCCGAGGCTGAAGGCAGACTGAGGCTGAGGCTGAAGCAGACTGAGGCTGAGGCTGAGGCAGGCTGAGGCTGAGGCTGAGGCAGGCTGATGCTGAGGCAGGCTGAGGCTGAGGCTGAGGCTGATGCAGGCTGAGGCTGAGGCAGGCTGAGGCTGAGGCCGAGGCTGAAGGCAGACTGAGGCTGAGGCTGAAGCAGGCTGAGGCTGAGGCTGAGGCAGGCTGAGGCTGAGGCAGGCTGAGGCTGAGGCTGAGGCAGGCTGAGGCTGAGGCTGTGACTGCGACTGCCGTTGCCACTGCGACTGTCATCGCGAATGCGACTACGACTGCGAGAACAGCAGAATTCTACAACTGGATTCTCATCTGAATCTGAAGGGGAATGCTTCCAGATATGCTCCTACACATCGCTGTTAGGTTGCTTTGCCGGGATAATTTAAAGAGCGCTGGATCTCTGGGGATGTCCGACGTCGCGATCTTTTCGATGCGCCGGTTTGTCCGCGTTCTCAGCTTCCGGGGCCCGCAGCGAGCTCGCATCAAGAAACGATTCATTATCACAAATCGCCCCCCGGGAACAATGTTCGCGGCCTCCTGGCCCTCGAGGCCTTGGCGCCTGGATCTAAGGGCCACCCCCCTCGCGCGCGCGCGACGGGCGCGGCCTCCGCGGGCGCGCGGGAGGCCCCCGTGGCGAACTGCAGGAAGCAGGCCCGCTGCTCCTCGCCACGCGCGCGGCGCCACGAGAAAGGCGGCGGCGGCGCGGCGGCGGCGGCGGCCCCAGAGATCCGGCGCCTCGAAAAAAATCTTCGAAGGTTTTCACATGTTTTCTATAGTTTTCGGCGGGTTTCGAGAGCTCCTGGAGATCCTCGGAGGCCCTCGGATGCTCCCAGAGGCGTTTCAGAGATCCCCAAAGATTTTCGATTTCCGCCGATCGGGCGCCTCGAAAAACTGAAAGCAACCGGTTTGCGGCCTTTTGTTCAGCCTCCGGAGGCCGTTTCCGGGGCCCCGGGATGGCCCCAAAAAACAACCCCAGACCGAAGCGCCGAACCTATATAGGGGAACTGTCCAGACCTCAGGGGGGCGACGCATCGAAGAAATTGGAGCGGCCAGATGTCCGCGGCGGCGGCGCGCGGCGGAGAGCGAGGCTCCGATCGAGGCTCGAGGCTCGAGGTCCGAGGCGCGAAGA